AGGTCGGTCATAATTTTGACAAGGTCGCTAAGCAACCAGTTGTAAGTCGAGGACCACCTACCTCCTCCTCCTGCTGTGGGTTCCACAGGCTAAAATTTCATGGAACGATTGTCCCAGCAGATTGTCCCTGTTTGAGCAGGATCAGGAGGAGCAGCTGGAACACCCTGCAAAGATCTTCTCTAAATTCTTCTCCATTTCATCCGCAGCTACTCATGGAGGAAGAATACCAGCACTTTCTGGACTTGGGAATGTCCATCGCTGAGAATCGCAGCCGGTCCAGTTTCCACTGCAAAACGACGGACTGCCGGGGTTGGTGCTTCTACGAAGACGACGTCAACGAGTTTGACTGCCCGGTGTGCCACAAACTGAACTGCCTGGTGTGTCAGGTGAGCCGTGTCTCATCTTTGGATCGGGCACCACGCCGGTCCTGTGCAGAAGGACTTAGCCCTTAGACTTATATGCCTCTTCACAGTGCTTTACAGCCCTCTCTAAGCGGTTTACAGAGTCAGCATATTGGGGGAGGGGGGGCAACAATCTGGGTCCTCATTTTACCGACCTTGGAAGGAAGAAACTTCCTAACAGTGAGAACAATTAACCAGTGGAACGACTTGCCTCCAGAAGTTGTGGGTGCTCCATCACTGGGGGGTTTTCAAAAATAAACTAGAGAACCATTTGACCAAGATGGTATCAGGTCTCCTGCCTTGAGGAGGGGGCTGGACTAGAAGACCTCCAAGGTCCCTTTCAACCCTATTATTCTATGTTCTATAGCAGCGTTCCCCAATCTTTCCGGATTTGAGGACTGGCGGGGGGGGGGGAGAGAGGATGGTTCTCTGGAAGTGGCTGGTGAGCGCATGAGTGCGCCACTCTATTTGAGCAAGCACTGGGCACGCATGTCCGCTGCTCACACAAATGGCGCACGCACGAACGAGCTTGCCTGTTTCCCGCACAAGTGGGGATGTGCACGTGTGTGCTCGCTCACCCTCCGCTTCTGCGACCCGGTTCCACACGGCTCATGGCCCAGTTAGCGGGCCACAGCCTGGGGGTTGGGGACCCCTGTTCTATATGGAAAATGTGGAGGTGCACCACCTCCTGTGGGGAATCTCCGCCCTGATTCTTTTATGGATGGAAAAGTTGTCCTCGCGGATGCATTCTTGGGGGGAAAAGATCTCCATGTGATCCTTCTTGCTTGGATGACATAGGATTCCTCTCTTTCTGCTTGCTCTTAAATCTGGGAATCTGTGCCCTAATGCAAGGGTCCCCAACCTGGGCCACGGACGGTACCGGTCCCTGCCTTGTTAGGAACCGCGTCACGCAAGCGCCGAGCAATCAAGCAAAGCTTCATCTGCGCACGTGTGGGATCTAAGTTGTGCACGAAACCGTCCCCCCCCTCCCAATCCCGGTCCATGGTACAGTTGCCTTCCACGGAACCGGTGCACGTTGCCAGAAAGATTGGAACCCCTGCCCTGAGGGGTGGATTAGTGGCAGGGCTGTGCTAAGGGAGGGTCCATTCCAGCCGACCTTGGTTTGATGACGGATCGGGGTCCAAGTCACGTTTCCCCCACAGGCTATTCACGAAAACATGAACTGCAAGCAATACCAGGACGATCTCCGGGTCCGGGCGCAGAACGACCACGCGGCACAACAGACCACGGAGATGCTGCTGGTGAGAACGGCGGAGCGGCAGGGAGCGGTTTTATTACCGAATTAAGAGAATTTATAAGGGGCGCCCAACTCCGGGTGGCTGAAGAAATAAAACCCCAATAACAAAAGCCAGTGAACTCCCAACTTCGCTGGTCACGACAAACCAGCCACAGGAGGAGCTCTGTATCCCCCCCCCCCGGGGTTCCCAGACCCCCTGGCAAAAAAGTCAGGTCTTTGGGGCCTTTTGAAA